TAAGGCCCTAAGTCCTAGGCATGCTGCCCTCTCTATCTATGAAAGGGAGTATCTTTCTATTTTATTAGCAGTTTCTAAGTGGAGGCATTACTTAGAAAGTAAGTCATTTATTATTAAAACTGATCATGAGCCTCTAAAGTATCTATTGGAGCAGAAACTGACCACCATAATTCAAAAGAAAGGGCTGACTAAATTACTGGGGCTTGATTACTCTATCCAATACATAAAAGGTAAGTCAAACATGGTGGCAGATGCTTTGTCTAGGCAATGGGAAGATAATAGTCAACTGTTGGCTATGGGGACTACTTTGATCATTCCTAGCTGGGTGAAAGAAGTTTAAGGCAGTTATAAGGATGACAAATTAGCTATTGATTGGATCAATATATTAATTGTGAATGCTACTTCTGATCCTAATTGGAAATTTTCCAGAGGAATACTAAGATTTAAAGGCAGAGTTTACATTGGTCCTACTGGGTCTCTTAGGCTTCAAATTCTGCAAACATTACATTATTCCCCTCATGGAGGCCATTCAGGAATTCAGGCTACTTATCAGAGGATAAGATCCTATTTTTATTTGCCTGGGCTTAAATCTATGGTAGCCACTTATGTCAGATGTTGTAAAGTTTGTCAACAAACTAAGGTAGAACATGTGCCTAAACCAGGATTACTACAGCCATTACCTATTCCTCAACAAGCTTGGGAGGTGGTTATTATGGATTTTATTGATGGCTTACCTACTTCATTAAGGAAAAACTGTATATTGGTGGTGGTAGATAAGTTTTCAAAGTACATCCATTTTATGGCATTGTCTCACCCCTACACTGTAGCTGAGGTAGCTAAGTTGTATTTGGATAATGTCTACAAGCAACATGGTCAGTCTAAACTAGCTATTTCAGATAGGGACAAGGCATTCACTAGTCTCTTTTGGAGAGAACTAATGAAGCAGCTTGGCACTACTACACTATTTAGCACTGCTTACCATCCTGAGACTGATGGTCAAATAGAAAGGGTGAATCAATGCCTTGAGCAGTATCTCAAAGGGCTGTGTTTTTTCAACCAAAGCAATGGGCTAAATGGTTGCCACATGCTGAATGGTGGTACAATACTACCTATCATACAACATTAAACCTAACACCCTTTCAAGCTCTATATGGCTATAAGCCTCCTACAATGGTTGGGCAGACTGAAACAACAGTACAATCTGTTGGGGAACTAATGAGGAGCAGGGAAGAGGTTAGGCAGATTGTGAAACAACAATTAGAAAATGCTGCAAACAGAATGAAACAGCAGGCAGATAAAAAACGATCTGAACGAAACTTTGTAGTAGGGGATTGGGTTTACCTCAAACTGTAACCGTATCGTCAAACATCCCTTGCCCTGAGGAAGAATCTGAAGTTAGCAGACAAATTTTACGGGCCTTACAAAATCTTAGAAAGAATTGGGAAAGTGGCATATAAACTTGACTTACCCGAATCGTCTCGATTACACCCTGTCTTCCATGTCAGTCTGTTGAAGAAGCATATTGGCACTACAGTAACAGCCTCGACAGCGCCTCCTGTGGTAGATGAAGCAGGTCAGTTTTGCATAGAGCCAAGTAAAATTTTGGGAAGAAGAATTGTCAATCGTGAATCAACCAGTTACTCAATTGTTGGTGAGATGGACTAACCTCGATGATTCGGACGACACTTGGGAGGATTACTCTGTTCTACGTGGCCAGTTTCCCTCTTTTGATCATTGGGGACAAGGATCCTCTCGAGGGGTGGGTATTGTCATGGTTGTAGGAGAAGGGCGAGAACACGAGGAAGAATTGGGGGAAGAAACGCGAATGTTAGGGATTGAGCAAGAGAAATTAGGGATTAAGGAACGTAAGAAAGGGGCTAATGATTTACCTGAAGTGGAGAAGGCTGATTGAGATCAGACGTGGTTGGAGCAGGCCCAAGAAGAATGAGAGTAGCCCAAGTCAGCTAGACCAATATCTGCAGAAGAAGACAAATTATTAGGAGTTGTTATATTTTGTTAGAAAGGACAGCCAGCTGGCAATCCTTCGGTTATCATTGTAACTAAATAAATTGGTTGTGTAAATATTTTCCAGTATGTTATGAATGAACAAGTTTTTCCTTCTCTAAATTCTCTCAAAATTCTCTCTATTCTTATTACCTACTTCTCCATTTCTCTTCTACTTACCTCGAACCATAACAGACTACTACCATGCAAACGTCAACTACCCTAGGATCATCAAGCGTAGCTTTTGAGAACCATATTATCCACGACATTTGAAGATGGATGACCCAAAATTTGCAAGGGTGGTAAGCTTGAATGGCTCCAGTTTTATTTTTAATAATAACCCCATATTAAAAAAATTCTTTGGATGTAAGTGGGCAGCTACTTGCAACAACCGTTGATCCTAGATTTCACAAGGCAAATTACTTTCTAGAAAAGATCAATCCCAACAAGAAATGAATCATTGCATGCTTAATCTCTATCCATTGCTCGTCGATCCTCATCAACCAAAGGAAGGGCTGCTTCGTATGTCATTCAAAGTTAGGGTATAAAGATCAAGGGAAACTCTTTGCACCAGTCAACTATACGAGAAGCTATGAATGGTGTCATTCATAACATCCAAGAGTTGGTTCAGACCTATGTTGCTAGAACAGAGTAATAGAATGAGAGTCTGGTCCAAACCAGGAGTGAGGAGAGGTAACCTTTATCCATTTTTTCTATGGATTTTACGTTCTTAACATGGAATTGCCAAGGTAGCAACGGAAGCAAATTACCAAGAGTTTCCAAAAAATAGATTCAGGAGCACAAGCCTAATCTTGTGGCCCACATCGAGCCAGGAATTAGTGGAGGCAACGCGGATAAGTCATTGCGAAGCTAGGATTCGAATTTCCTTTATGAGTGGAGACTATTGAGTTTTCGGGTGGAATATGGCTTCTCTGAAGTTCATCTATTTTGGTCGATGTCATTGCAGTTCACCCCTAATTTATCCATACTAGGATCACAAGTATGAATTTTCCTTTACCCTTTATGGTAATCACTGTATATGGAAGCCCTGACAGGTATAAACGAAAGGCCTTGTTGAGGGATCTTAGTGGCATTCATGTGGCAAATGAAACACTTTGGGTTTTACAAGGAGATTTTAACGCGATCTTGGATGGTTTGGAGAAAAAAGGTGGAGCGAGGAGAGGAGTTGGGTGCAGCTTATTCCAAGATTTCTTACAACGCCATAATCTCTTCGACCTGGGTTTAAAGGACCACCTTTCACATGGAAGTGGGGCAGAACCTTTGAACGTCTTGAAAGATTGGTGGCTAATGCCCACTGGCATATGGTGACCTCTGACATGACTGTCTACCATCTTCCTCGACTCAAATCCGACCATAGACCCATCATCTTGTGCTCCAATGCCAATCTTAATTTTATTGGCAAAAGACTTTTCTGTTTCTTTGCAGGTTGGATCAAGCATCCCCTTTTCCACTTTTTGGTTCAAAATAAATGGTCGCTGGATGGGAACATGCATAACAGGATTAAATCCTTCATTGATGAGCTTCATTCCTAGAATAAGAACGTCTTTGGACATTTGATTTGAAAGAAGAAGCAGCTTAAGCACAAACTTTTAGCTGTCTAAGCTTCCATGGATTTCTATGGTAATGATAATCTAAAAGATGTTGAAATAGAGCTCCGTTTAGAGTTGGATGATATTATTGATAATGAAGAGCTCACGTGGAAGCAAAAGTCCAGAAGCTCTTGGTTACACGACGGTGACCGTAACACTAGATACTTCTACAGCCGCATGGTCTCTCGTAGAAAGGTATATCGAATTCAAGTATTGCGAACAAATGACGAGGATTGGTGCTATGATGAGGATATTGGCAGAGGGAAAGACACTAAGTTTTTTTGAAAATCTTTACCGTTAGAATGGTAAAAAATTGGATCAGTTCCCAATTAGGAATGCCTTCCTTAAGTTTCTTGGATTCGAATATTAAGATTATCAATGCCAGAGTGTCGCATGAGGAAATTCATCAGGCGTTTTTTGTGATCTACGATATTTTCTCCGGTATTCATAGAACTCTTCACATTGAAGTGACGAATTTTAATAAAATAATATTTTTATTTAAAATTATCACTTGACGAGTTCTAATAAAATATATTTTTTATTAAAATTTATTATATCAAGATAAAAAATGTGAATAAAAAAATATTTTTCATTTAAATTCATCACATCAACTTGAAGAATTTCATGCATTGTAAAGAATACCGTAAATCCAAAAATATAAGTGTAAGTGCCCTTAGAAAAAAGTGTCAGTGTCCTATTTTACAATTTTTTTCTTTCAAAGCTGCCCTGTTGGGAAAAAAAACCCTCACTATGCCATCCAGGTGAAAAGACGAGTCAAGCTCCTGGAGGGTTCTTCTGCACTTGGGCCGAATGGGCTGGGTATGCATTTGGAAATATGCCATTCAACAATTAATTATTGGGTAAACTAAACGTTAGTACCTAAACTATTCCATTTCGACATCTAAAATTTATTTTTTTAAAGAATGTTTAGTTTTAGATTTCATGTTGGTACTCCGCCGTCAAAAGCAGTTTCTCTTTGATAAAATCTTTGAGTTCCATGTTTTAATTTGTTAAAAAAAATTCCATGTTTTAAAGAACACTGATGCAGCAGAGGAGGCTAAGATCACGGTAATAAAAAACAAACTGATGCAATGAAAAAGAGAACAAAACAACAGTTTTCTTCTTGTAACTATTGCAGAGCTGATGGATTTTGATATATAGTTTTTGCATTTTGGTTATTTAAATGTAGTGTTTGCGGCAAAATGGCAAAAAAAAAAAAAAACGCATAACATACACGCGCATATTCCCTTTCCATGTTCAAAGGGACTACCTTTTTTCATGAACATGCCTGCAAATTTTTTATATCGTCTAATATAAATTTAGACCTCCACATAAAATGGTTCTAATTTGCACCACAACTTTATAAGAAATGGAGTTCTGGTATCATTGATAAAAATTGAAAATCTTCTTCAATCACAGATTCATGGCATCTAAGTCAAGTCTGGTGTAAGATAAGTGTATATAGCAACTCATTCCATGTATCAGGCAATCCAGGCAGACACCAATGCACACAATCTGCATATCTTGCTGGATCAGTTTTTTGTTCTTTGGTCAGCACCTTGCCGCCGGGAGCCGAATAGAGTGATGTATGTGCATCTTTCCGGTATTCGGATAGCCCCGTTATGTTGATGAAATGAACGGGTACTTTTACGGATTGAATGACCTTTTCTGCAGTTTCGAAAAGCTTCCAATTTGTGCCCACGTCGATCGTCGACATGTTCAGAATCGGCATCGTCTCGTTCGAACATTGGATCCCAAGCGTGTTATTCCAGGCAGAGCCTCTGTTTGATCTTGAAAAAAAAAATGTAAGTTTTTCGAACTACCTAACTGAAAGGATTTCAAGTTTTTGTTAGTTTCTGTACTTATTATGTTGTGGAGCCGAACTGATGAAGAACACTGAAGTCCTATTGGGATCAACATTTTCTCCCACCCATTTGGCCCATGAATTCAAAGCATTCTCATATGCTACACTCTGATCTATCTTGTTATAGTCCGTCGGCCGATCGTCAAATGATCCTCGTCTTTTCAATCAGTTTCCAAGGAAGAAAACTTGAGTGAAAATTTTCAAGAATTTCAGAACCATATAACCTAAAAATGTACAAGACAATAAAATGTGGGAACTCACTGCAGTACTTTCACGACGGGGTACCTCCACCAAATGAATGTATTGAAGACGAGATAATCCAAATTTTCCCAGTTTTGTCCATGTTTTGAGATTGATCCAAGCTTCACTATAGGATCCACTGTGCCATCCCTCATATTTGGAGGGTCTACATTGGACTCAACCAAATAGGGTGCCCAGTAAAACTCAATTGTAGCATTATAATCCTACACAGTCGAATCAAATTATAAAGTTATTCGAGTCGATTCGATCAAGAGTCGAAAGTAAAGAGAAACAGAAAGCAAGGGATTACCTCCATTTTAAAAACAGTGATGTAGGTTGCATAGCTCATGCTCCTCTTCTCAGGTGGGATGACAGATTGAACAATACAAACCATAGACAACATCTGGTTAAAATTTAAGGAGTCCCCAACAAACATAAGCCTCTTTCCTCTAAGTTTCTCCAGAAATAATTTTGCCTCAAATCTTAACCCAGAAAACACAAATGGTCGTTTAACCTATGTTACTTGGATTCATGTATTTCAAAGAATCTATTACTAAGTACTTACTTTGGCAAAGAGCAATCTCTGGGCTGCCATCTCCATTTCTGGTACGAAGAATCAGGCCTTCCATTCTTCAAACAAGTCACCATGTTATTGAGATACTCACAGTCTTCTTCTTTGTATAAAGGATGTGATGAAGTGTTATCGAAAACCCATTCTCCTGTGAAGATATCACACTCTTCTAGTGGCAAAACATTGGTTGAATTTGAGGATTCATGGAAGGGCTCTTGTTGATTGAAATCTGTGAATCGAGTGATTTTTATGTATTGATTGTAATAGAAGAATCCGAAGAATAAAATTGAGAGAACTACTGTGGCTGCCATTGGAAAGAAATTCCATCTTGGGGGCTTATCAAAAGATTTCATTGTTAATCAGGATCAACAACGGCTTAATCAAACAATTAAGAGCAATGGAGTTTTCGTTGTATGTTTTTTTTTCAAATTTTTTTCCGATAGGGGTAGGTCAACCTCCCATTTCGTAACTAACACCGGTTTATTTTACTTTAGTTGTTATGTTTTAGTCTGTAAAGCTGTCATCATAATAAGAAAAGGTTAAAGTATACAAATGATCAATATTTATCTTGAAATGGTATTTTTAGCTATTAAAGTTTTAAAAATTATAAAATGATAATTAAAATTTTAATTCGATTATAAAATTATAATCAGTCTGTTAACTGTCATTAACCGTGATAAAGGGGATGGCGTGACATATTTCCCTGTGATGTTTGATGATAAGAATAAACGCATGATGATTTTTTGTTTAAGAGTGATTTTATGTTTAAGAGAATGAATTTGTAAAACATTAGAGGTGAAAATAAATTTTTAATAAAAAATATAAAAAAAATTATATGATAATTTGAAATTTTTAAGGAGATGATCGCACCATTAACCCCAGTGGCGGATGCACATTCTGAAATTTCCTGGAATTCGAATTTTCTTCTTTAAAAATCGAGTTTTTTTTTTTCAATAATATATGTGTCAACCTTAAAATTTTATCGTATAAAAGAATTTATATTATTAATATATGTGTCCACCCTTAAAAAAAAATTTAGGTCCGCCACTGACTCCACCTATAAAGCATAATACTCCTTATGATGAAGGGGAAAACCTTGTTAAATCACAAGCAAGGGAGGGAAATGTTGTTCTTGGTCTTGCAAAGACATAACGTAGGATCGGGTCATTTAGTTGCTGCTGAAAATGCAATATGATTGCACCATACATGTTGTTAAAGAAGGTTGTGTTTCTTCGTTTCTATGTTGAAATTTTTTATACCATCCGTAGATATTCATCAAAATTAATATTTCATTTAGTGTCTCATACCCCACGAATACCTATAATCTATTATTGGGCTGATAAGTGCTTAATTTAGTTAATATTTTACTTTTAAATTACTCTTTAATCATTGATTTTTGTGACTTATTTGTTCATTTTAATTCATTTTCTGTACAGGACGTAAGATTATGGAAATTGCACAAAAAGGATACAATTATGCAGATTTTTTATTTTCGGAATCAAAGCTGACTGGAATTCGGATTTGGATTAAACTCAAATTTAGGATAATATTTTAAACATTATATTTTATCTTTGTATTTTAGTTTAAATAGGTTTTTAGTATTTTAATTAAGTTTTAGGATATTATTTTTATATTTTATCTTTATCTTTGTATTTTAGTTTAAATAGGTTTTAGTATTTTAATTGGGATTTAGAATATTATATTATTTTTTAGGTATTTTAGTTTAAATAGTTTTAAGTGTTATAATTAGGATTTAAGATGTTTTAGCTTGTTTTTAGGATTTTGAAGGCTATAAATACCCTCTAAGGGTGAGCCTAGAAACATATCTCTCTCATTTGAGAATAAAATCTTCTTTTTCTCTCTAGCTTTCTCTCTATTTTTCGCATACTTTTCTATTATGCTAAGTATGACTTTGGTTATGCTTAGCTAATTTTCTTTCAAGCCGAAGACTAAAGCGAAGGCTCAATTCCAAACATGAGAATTGTAAGGTACTTAAATCGCTTCGGATTTTCTCTCTGTTTTCTGAAGCTTACTTTTCAAATCAAAACTATTTCGACATTGGTCCTGATATTGTTATGGTTAATGTTTGAAGAAGGATTTGCTTATTGAACCATATTCAACTTCCCGAGAACACACTTAGCAAAATTGTTTGCTAAGAGGAAAGTGAGATCGGAATCAGTTGTTGTTGAAACGACACAATCCGAGTTGGCAGCGAAGAATTGTTCTTGTAAGCTTACGTGAATCTTGAAGTAAAAATTTGTTTCGATGATCCGAGAAATTTGAGGCGAAGCTAAAGTCTGAGGCTGCTTTCACAATAAGTTTCTCTTTATCTTAATATCTTTAATTTGTTTATTTTATTATTTTTTTCTTTTATTTAATTCTTATTTTTTATTTTAACCACAACTTTAAAAAAAATCCCCCTTTTATATTTATTACTATTAATATTTATTATTATATTATTTTTCTTTTTTTTATTTATTTTATTTTAATATATCTTTTCAACTTCATCTGGAATTCTATTTTTTTCTAAAATCAAGAAAGAGTTTTATTAAATCAAAAACACCACTGTCCCTGTCGATCGACCCTGCTTCTCTATACTACATTTTCATTTTTATTTATTAAGAAGCCAAGAATTATTTTGATAGCAAAACGACGGTTATCAAATTGGTGTCGTTGCCGGGGACTAACGGCAAGTACTGATTTATTTTTCTAGTTTTTGATTTATGACCAGAAGTAACCCAGGTGAATTAGTAGATCTAGATCCAAAGATCAAAGCACGAGCACGAAGAATCCATGCACAAACACTTCGAGAAAAGAGAAAAAGACAAAAAGAACAAGAGCAAAGTTCAGAAGCATAATCAATTCCAGAGAAAGACTCTGAAGCAGACGCATACAACATCCCGATGGCAGAAGAAGAACAAACGATCCGAGAGCTAGCCACAGCTCCTCTCACTTAGACGCCATTATGCATTAATTTTCCTAGTGGCGGGACTCCGTTTCAATTAAAGACAAGACTCATTCATCTTCTTCCCACTTTCCACGACTTTCCCACTGAAGATCCGTACAAACACTTGTTGGAATTCCACATGGTTTGCACTAGCATGATGTAATATCCCAAAAATTTAGATAATGACCAAAATGTAAATTTTGGAAGTTTGATGGCCAAAGTATAAAATTTGGGAAAAAGTTTAGGGAATTGAGTGATAATTTCCTAAAAAGAATTTTATTCCATAAATAGATGGTTTACTCTTGAGAGTGGAGTTTTATAGAAATCATATTGTTGGATTTGGAATTTAGTAAAGAAAGAGTTAAAGCCGGTAAGAAATCGGTAAATTCCGATCGAATTGGAATTTTAAAAAAATTTGAAGGATGTTATAAAATGGTTGGAAATATTATTTTAATATTTTATATCAGAGAAATTTGGTCTGGAAATGTGCAAATTTTCAGATTTAACCGAAACTGTGAAATTTAGTGGCTAAAACGCAAGTTTTGAAAATTCATGGGCAAAACGGTAGAGTGCAAGACTAATTGTTCATCTTTGACTATTATAAGATGATAAAACTGATATTTCTCTGATTTGGAAGGAGATAAGAATAAGTATTTAGGTTCCTTGGTAATTATAAAGTTTCATTAAGGTTAGATTGGTATTTAACCAATTTAATGAATTTAATATTCATTAAATAATTAACTAAAGGATAAAAGCATGATATCAATCAAACATATCATGCCAAAGTGTTCTTCTTCTCCGGCACAAGAACGTGAGAAAACTTGAAGGTAAGAAAATATTTCATTTTCAATTTTGAGCTAATTCCTTTGGAATTAGAGTTATGTTGTGAGATAGGAAAGTGATATAAGAGAAAAACGCTATCATTTGGTACCAATATTGCATGATTATCTTTCTTGATTTCAAAATCCCCAAATCTGGAAATTTGGGTTTATACTATGGTTGTTAAATTGATGATGATTATTGATGATTTTGAGGTTGTATGAATTGATGAAGAACATAAGGATGAGGTTAAAGAAAAACAGTTTAGATTTTGGGAATTACAGTAGGTTCGAAAATTCACCAGAAAATATATAAAAATAATTTGGAGGTGAATTTTATATATTGTGTTCATATATGATTGTTCTATACATCATAAGGAAGACTTGCGATAAGTCGACCTTGTTTATATCGGCATGATTTTATATTATTTTTATAAATTGACATTGAGATGTCAGAGTATGAAATTAAAATGCATTGATCATGAATGAAAAATGTGATATTTTACCATGAATGTTTTCGGGTATGAACTGCCCAATGTTAAATTTGATAATATACTTTGCCATGGATGGATCGAATAAAATAGACTATATGCCCAAGTAAGTCATTGAGGGACAGGGTATAGTTGGCATGCCATAAAGCATAGCAGCTGCAGGTTTATAATACACTTCGGTGTATATGGTGGGCACGACCTTATGTGTAATACACTTCGGTGTATATGGTGGGCACGACCTTATGTGTAATACACTTCGGTGTATATGGTGGGCACGACCTTATGTGTAGCACTACGGTGCAAATATTACTCGAATACCCAGGGTCCTCAGGGTTGTATATTGTGCTATAGGCTATGGTTTATGGTTTATTGCTTAATAAATGGTAAGCATACAAATAAGCTTACGAGCTTTTGGAATAATGGAAAGTATATGGGTAAAATAAGCTTACGAGCTTATAGAATTTAAATGGTAAGTATTTTGGTAAAATAAGCTTACGAGCTTTTGGGATAAATGGTAAAATGATTATATGGAAACTCAATTTTTGACATTGAAAATCATGCATGAATTGTATTGCACTGTTAAATGTTTTAATTGCCTCACTAAGTTTATACTTAGCGTGTGATGATTTTCACGCGTAGGTAAAAAGCAAAGAATAAGAATAAAGAGTTCAGAATGACATCAAGCATCGAGAGGTATATTTCAATATCAGTAAGACGTCCTATTGTGAAATTTGATTTTAGATAGTGGCATGTAATTTGAAAATGTTCAATTTATTTATTTAATTAATTTTGGAAATTTTTATAGTGATGAAAGGTGAATTTTTATGAATTTATATGTAAATTTTTGGAAGTGACTGTAGCATGAACAGTAACCACGGTTTTTAAGCAAACATTCCAGATTGTTAAAGGGGTATCGATTCCCCTGCTACATGGAATCGATTCCCCTACTGTTCATTGTTCACTATTCGGGTACTATTCACTATTCATAATTAAAAATATTTTGAATTAAATTGGTTACAATGAAACGTAATTTTTATGATATGATAATTTTATAATATCATTTACTATTTTAAGAAAATAAATTTTAAATTACTTTCGAATGGTAAAATGGTTTTTAGAAATTCGGATAACATCCGTAATCTGTATAGGTATAATAATACCGGTTACGGGTGTTACACATGAAACCAC